TAATGAAAGAAGTAAATGAAGAATATTTCTTTACTTTTTTTTTGTCACAACAATGCCACTGATTACAATTTGTTGCTGGTTAATAACACACACACACAGTGACGTTCGTGATTTCAGTATGCAGTTATACAACGATACTGTCTTAAACTCGTTTGTAGCCAATATACTGAGCATAAACCCGAGTTAGGTAGATGAATGGAAGATTGAAGAGTTTGGAAGACGAAGAAGGAGAGGAAGAGGGGAAAATTTATTGAAATATTTTTGCCACTCAGAACTCAACGAATTTTGTTTGCATAAGGAGAAACCAAAACAAATTAAACATTTGCGTCAAAAATCTCGTTTTTCTCTATGATTACTTTTTATTTTTTCGTTCCAAATGGTCAGTGGATTACTTTTATCGGTCAAAAATTAAGCCACTTTTAAATGCTTCACTTTGCTCCTTCTTCTTATTCTTCGACATCATCACCATCACCATCGTCGTTGTCGTCGTCATCATCGTCGCTGTCTTCTTTTTCTCCTTCTTCTTCTTCTTTTTTCCTCCCCTTATTCAGAAATTTTTCGCCATAACTTTCAATTATATCCGATCTTCAAACAAGTCGTCAGTAAAAACAAAAAAAAAGACAAAAAAAAATTTGATATTGAAAGCGGCCGAAAAAAAAAGAACAAAACGGTACTTATCTCGTTTAACTTATCGGTTAGTGTCTCTGTACGTTAAACTGATTATCACCAATCATTTTGGTACACTGTTCACAGAATCGACACACTGATCATCTTTAAACTGCTTCAGAATAATTAAAATTTTTACAAAAATTTACAAAGAAAAAGCCTTTAGCATAATGAATAAAAACCCTTTTTTATCAAAAATCGTCAAGTAAATAATTTGTTTTTAACCTCAAATTAAAATTTGGTTGTCATATAACTACCCTACAATCCAAGACTAAACATAAACAGTTTACGCTGATAATATACCTGAATCACTAATTCGACAGTTGAAACACCACTATTGTCAACGGTAAAGACTTAGTAATGGCCAGGCTTTGATAAGTATTGCAAAATCAAAAACTATAATAAGTTGGTAGCTGCGGAAAGGTCAAGAATAATGATCAATGCAAATTGCTTAAAATAACCTCAACAAGAATTTATTGTTCAATAAACACAATTGTAGATTAATGAACTTTAAGTTTAATTGAACTTAATTATGAAACAAAAAATATTTTTAGCACCGTCTTACTGTATGTATTTAATTTTGCAGAAGAGGATTATAAGATAAAAAGTTCAAATACGCTAAGCTCTGTGTTGTCGAACGAGTCTGTCATGGGTCTTCAAGAACGGTAAGGATTCTGAAAGAGTAAAGTTTCATAAGTCAAATCTGAAGAGTTTGAATAAATTGAAACCTTTGACCATATCAACAAATTAACACCTCTAATTTGAGCACATTTATTTTGCAAAAAAATTTTATTTACAATTGCTCAAAATGCAGCAGTAATCAGATACTGGTATTTGTTTTTGCAGCCGTTGATCCAAGCCTTGTTTCTTTTGTAACTTCTTTGTCATTAGGTTGTTACATGCTCTGACAAATCAGCTGGAAAGAAAGTAACCAAAATAATCAACGTGGCGAAGTTGCATTCTCTATTTACCAACAAGATAATTATTGGAAAAAAAAAACTAGAAATAGATAGTTTATAAAACAAAAATGAAGGAACTGATAAATCTGCATCAAGACGACCATCTGTGTGAAAGATACACAAAATTCGTCGTTTGGTTATTTGTTAAAGTAGTTGGAACTATACAGTTTGTTCTCGGACTATTGTTCAGACTGGTACACTTAATGTGGAAAGCGATTTTAATTTTCTTTCATTTCCTAAATTGGTCTGCCGTCATCAGCGGTATCCATAAATGTGTATGTGCGAAATAGTTGACCTGTTTATTTCATACTTCTTATGATTTTTACTTAACATTTTTAGCAGCAGCAGCAGCAGCAACGAGAACAACGACGATACAGGATCACTTCACAACTAGTACATTGATAACACTGGAAAAAAACCGTCTCTTAAATACCAGTTTTATTAAAATTTCCGTACTTTAAAATTCTAACGCTTTGTTAGCTCTTTTCGTCAACCACTGATTTGGAAACCAATTATTTGCTCAATTTTTGTAAAACTGTTACAAACCATAAGAAGCAAAGAAAAAACATAAACATAAAAAACGCGTCATTTCTCAACAAAAATCTTCACTAAAACTATTCAGGACGACAGAATGGCAGTACTTTTAACAGTAAATAAAGATCCCACCAAGAACAACAGTCGCCGTGAATAAATAATCTTTAGGTAGAAAAAATAATATTTACAGAGAAAAATGAATATTTTGTCTTCGACCAGACAACATATACGTTACAACTGGCTACGATAAACTTGATCAGAAGTAAAGTTCGCTTTAACATATAAAAAAATTTGACAAAAATGAAGATCAACAAATTATACAAAAAAATAATAAAAAACCTAACTGAGGTTTTTGATAAAATCCACCGATACAACTGCTTCAGCAATTTTGGCTCGTTCCTCTTCACTATTCTCCGAATCACTGAAATCATTCGCTTATTTTTTGGTCAGTTTTCAACGCTAAGCATGATTTAGTATTACAAAACCAAGTGTAGTTTAAAACCTATACTTAAACACTTATTTCGGACGCTCTCTCAGTGAGAAACTCCAAGTTATAAATACGCAAGAAAAAAGTTGTGCTTTTTACGCAAAAAATCAACCTTGACAGAATTTCTGATATATATTAAAAAAATAAAAGGTATCAAGATGAACTGTTTGCATAAACTTACTTCCTATCTTTACTGCAAATATCTGAGACGTCAAATATATGTTTCAACTACTTTTTACCCTTCCTTCTTTTCTTTGTCTTTTTTCACGCAAAAAAGAAATAAAGCTCAAAAAAGTTTAAAAAATGAAAGACGATATTTCCACAGGTGTTGTCAATATTTTCACTTCAACATACGTCTTATAATATTTGAAAAAACTAAATGTTTTAGTTAAAAATGTGTTAATTTTCTGCTTTCTTTTTACATTTTTTCAATTTTTTCTTATCAAAATTATATGAATTTTTAATGTCAAAAGCAAAACAAAGCAGAAGCATTGGTCCTTCCCATTTTATATAAAAAAACTTTTCATAAATCACAAAATTTTTGTGTTTTAAAAATAAGAAAGTTAATGAAAGAAAATACAAGAATGACATGCAGCTTTTTTTACCCAATACGATAGTCAATAGAGCAAACTAATTCTTAGGTAGTTTAAATCAAGTTACTTGACTTATAACTTTTGCTATCCCTTATATAATAGAGAATTCGCCTGCACTACTTATTTTGTTTGTCCTCCTCCAACTAACCAACATTACTGTCAGTTAGACAGACTTAACTAGTTGCTGATTTATTTAAATAGTGTTATGAATTCATAATCTGAAGGTAACAGTATACTTTAATTCAATTATCAATTTCACTGCAAAAAGTTCTCTTAAAGTAGCTGGCAGCAATTTTTAAATTCACAAAACGTTTAACAACTTGTCGGAAAATGTCACTCATTTAGCTTTCTCTATTAAGGTGATAGATAACTTTATCACAGTCAACAAGCTAGACGACAAAAAACATGTTATTCCATTTTTTCATTTTGCAGAAATTACTGAAAAATTAAAGTCCTACTCACGGTACCTATAATTTCCTTCAACGTTATAATTGATCACTTTTTTCTTCCTTGTCACTGCCATTATTGCTACCTTTCTCTTTCAAACTTCTTTTATTATGCTAATTAAGTGTCATTTAAAAAACCCACAAACAAAACTGTAGAAGAAACTTCAACCTGTAACTAGTAAAGATGTTGTTTATATGTATGTTAAGCGCTAAAATAGTTATGAATACAGGAAAAAACAATTATTCATCATAGAGACTGACGTCGCATCTTTCACTCACTCCCTCTTCTCTCCTTCCTTCAACAATACAATAAAAATTTTTTTGCAACAGAAGTATGCTTTTCACTGTCCAACTACTGTGAATTTTTAGGCTACTGTCCTTGAAAATAAGTTTAAAAAATCAAATTGGAGTCTGCATTAGATCAACAGAGCTTGATAAAAGCTTCAACAAATTTGTGACCAACATCCTCTTTCACCAAAAAAATAAAACCATAATAAATACCAAAAAAAAAGTACAGGAAGCCTATAACTGAATTTCAACTACTTAGAAAAACACAAATTTATTGAGTTTCCGCTCCCCTCCCTTTACTAAAAGAATTAAAGCAAATTTTTATTCGATTAACAACTTTATGGTTAGTATATCTTTCAATCCAATTAATCACTTTTCTTTTTCAACCCTAACCTATAAACAATCTTTGAGTAACTTTATTGAAGACCAATAAATCTATTAAATTTCTAGTTATAAAATATATTTGAAAAAAAATAAAGAAGATTAAATTACTTGCTTATAAACGAGATACTTTTAAATTTGTGACGGATAGAAGGTATCATTTAATTTAGCTTTTCCACTGCCATTAATATTTTCGTTAATTGCTACTAACAACTGATACAACTGCAAAGATCTTATACAAGTAGAAATAATATTAAATCACCTTTCGACAGAACCTTTCCTTCGTTTTTTACTTGGCACTGCATTCTTATCGATCGTTAAATCGCAACTGCTATCCGTAATGTATTCTTTGCTTCCATTCAACAGTTTAATACCTGTTGTACCAACAGCCTGGGCACTTTTTGGACCTTTACTAATAACGTTTACAAATTCCAAAGAACTGAAACTTAACTAGTTCAGATTGTCAAAAGCCGTATACCAGTTCCTAGCAACTCATTACTTACTGCGAGCAAAAACCCCTAACAAATTTCTAACGTGTGAACAATGCCCAACATTCACGTTGTAAACCAACTAGCCTTTCCAGTTGTCTATGTAACGTTTGATAAATCTCCTCGACCAATCCCTGATCTGAATCATCGGTCTTCTTATCTTCAGGTAGTGACATCAAAATTTTTCAAAAGCAGAACTAGAACAAAAAAAGTACTCCTAAACAAATACTAACAAAATCCAGTGATATAGACTTCTTCTTCACCTTCCTTTTTCTTTCTTTTTTGAAAACAAGTAAAAATATGGCTATAAATGAGGAACTATGTCCATATGCTTGTTCACAAAGTTGGAAAACGTTAAAACGTCTTGTTTTTTTCTGTGCGCCAGTCATTAATAGAACCATAACAATAAAATAGCATAAATGATTAGAATTTTTTACCCATTTCAGAAGAAAAAAGTAACTATCCCAGACACATATAGATCAAAGAAATATAATAGTATTACTTAAAGCCTGATAGAAATACAAAACTGAATATAACAACTGAAACAAAACAACATCAGTAAAAGTTCCAATACCTCATGAAAGTTTCTCGCTGATTAAAAAAAAAACAAGTTTATAATGCTATCCTTAAATCAGTTCAAAAAGTTAAATATACATTAACACTACCACATTTTACGGAAAATTTGTGTTAGAAAGAAGCAAAGACACCTCAGCAGACTGAAAAAATGCCACAAATTGACCAGTGCCTGACACATCATCGCGTTTACTAATTATCAGAATAAGTAGTACAGACCTCTAAATTCAACCAACTTAAATATGAAAAGAAAAGAATCAGATTTTTATACCCGTATTTGAAGATCAAAATTTGAAGAGTCAAAAAACAAAACTGTATCATTCAAGTTTTTAACAGAAAAAACGAACGTCTCAGAAAAAAAGACAAATGCTAAAAAGCATATGTACAACAAAAAACTACTGTAGTCAATGAGAATATCGACAAATAAGGATAATAGAAGCTACTAATTATGACTCTGCAAGAGAACAGTTTCAGCAATACCCGGAAAAGAAAAAGTATATAATTTAAAGTAGAAAAGAAGTAGATTGAGTTGATTATTAATTAATACAGCATTGCTATAAACAAAAAAGGAAACGTTCAGCTTAACTCGAACCCCGGTTCCGAGTGGATTGCGTATCTCAGTTTCTGAAGCAGAAGAGATTTCTTATTGTAGTTCGGCAGCTTCAGTAAATTGAAACACGTTGAAGCTGTGGGCAATCTTGTAGGATTTTGTTTCCGTTTTATAGCTAGAAATCCGCGAACAACACTAGCTAATGTGTCACCTTGGTCCTGCAACTTTTCATTACTCAACAAACTCCCTTAACAAAATAGTCAATAAGTCACTTTTCAAATTAGATTCACTTGATCGTCCGATACTTCGACACATCGTATAGAAAAAGGAGGTTCTAAATAAGCGAAACCTAGCAAAGGAGCCCGAGAGCAGCTGGTCACAAACTGAAATTTGAATGCACTTTTTATATACAAACCAAACCCTCTCAAATTTTATCAAAACAGTTGAAAGCAATGTTAAACAGCTGTCTACATATAATAATTTGCCAAAAAAAGGTAAAAAGTAAGATTCCCGGCAAATCTAAACCTTCAAAAAAAGACGCCTTTCCTCCCCGTCAAAGTCAGATTCAAGTATCTGCCACAGCCATTTGATAACCCGATGATTACTGTGAAAACCCCCATAATATTGAACATTGGCACGCAGATCCCGTAAATCAATATCGCTAGAAATACAAAACTAGGCTGAGTTACATCACAGAAATAAGACATAGCAAGCAAG